TTAAAAAACAAAACTCACTTCCTGGAGATTTTAGAACATGATAATTTATATATTTAAATCATCGTGTTTACCCTCAAGTTACTTTTGGCTATTTATAAATCACTAATTGAGCCGGCCGTGTCCTGCAACAGTCTGAGCTTTCATAAATGAAGTGAGCATAATGAAAACACAGGAGCATTACTTAGTGGAGTTAATGCAAAGCTCTACACATACACTGTACGTCAGGAATCTCTCAATACGAGCGCTATGTCTTACAGGGGAGCTGTGCTGCAGTCGTTCTGGTTCTGAGACCAGGGGAACCTAAAATGACGGTTTAGATATCAGACGTGACCGTCCCACTTTATTTGTCCCCTCCTCTTCCTCCAAAAGATAAGATTTAACAAGACAAGCAGAGGTTCCTCGAACAGTTCGAGTGCTCCAAAATATAATTTTCCCTCACTATTAGAAAGCTCGCACGTCACTGGGCTGCGACGGCTTGTGACTAGTCGAAAATAATCAAATTCTTCTGATTGGCATTCAAGAGGGAGTCTCTAAAATGTCTCGACGCATTTAAGGGATTCTCACCGCCCTTCTGTGAGTCACAGCTGTGCTTAACATCTGCATGGGGTATTAACGGTAAAAACATCCCGATAGGTGAATGTTCCTACTTTTTTACTTGGATGTCTCTACTTTTGACAGGAAACATCCATGACTACAGCCCTGAACATTCAGGTCTAAACACGACTACACCTTCTTCTTCTTCTTCTTCAGGGGTCTCCACAGCGAGTCATCCTCCTCCATCTCACTCCGTCCTCTGCATCCTCTGTCCTCACTCCAACTACCTCCATGTCCTCTCTAACTGCATCCATACGTCTCCTCTTTTGTCTTTTTTCCCAAGCAGAACCTCAACATCTTCATTTCTGCTACTTCCAGTTCTGTCTCCTGTCTTTCTGTCCATGTCTCTGTCTCCAGATCATACAACAGCTGGTCTCACCACTGTCTTGTAAACTTTTCCTTTGACATTTGCTGACACCCTTTAGTCTCAAATCACTCCTGAATCTTTTCTCCATCCTGCCTGGACTCTCTTTTTCACTTCTTTACCACACTCCCCCTTTTCCTGGACAGTGCTTGAAGTTCCTCTGCTCCTTGTAGCCTCACTGTTCCACCGGCCTCCCTCTCATTCACACACATGTACTCGGTCTTACTACGGATGACTTTCATTCCTCTTCTTTCAAGTGCATACCTCCACCTCTCCAAGTTCTCTTCCACCTATTCTCACCACAGATCACAATGTCATCTGCAAACATCAAAATCTAAACACTACACCAGTGATAATAAATATAGATCTTAATTTGCTTATCTTCAGCTCTCAAGTGTACTCCAGCAGCTTAAATCTTGAATGTGGGGTGGGCTGCCAAGGTGAGCACAGAGCAAGTCAAGAAGAGTACAATGTGGCTGAAGGTGGGCAACAAAATAATGTGAATGGCCTAGAACACTTTTCTAAGCTGTGATTTTCAAAAACTGCAGAAAAAAAAAATCATAAACTTCAACTTAATTTAAAAACTAGAGAATTTGCATTTTCAGCAAAAATGCAGTGTGAATGCTTAGTCCCGAACAATATGCTAAAAAACAGCTGAAATTAGCTAAATAAACATTCTGAAGTGTAGCTGAAATGGAAGAGCAAGCTTAAAATAGCAGAAGAAGCAGAAAGAACACATATTTGCTGAATCAGATTTAAATAAGCAGACATGAAAACAAAAATTAGGAAATTAGCTAAAAAAGACTGAAATTAGCAAGAAAAACAGCTGACAAGTAGCTGAAAAGGCAAAACAAAGCCTAAACTACCAGAAGGAAGTGGAAAGAACTGAAATTAGCTAAAAAATGTGGAATTTGTTAAAGATTTGCATCAAAAGAGCTGAACAGTAGCTGAAAGAGCAGAAAGCTGAAAAACGCTGAAAGGAGCATAACAAGCTGAGATTAGCAGAAAGAAGTTAATTAGGTTGAAAGTAACAGAAATTAACATGAAAAACTTGAATTTATCTGAAAACCGCTGAAATTAACTAAAACATGCTAAAAAGGTAGCTGAAAATGTAGAACAAGCTTAAATTAGCAGAAGCAGAAAGAACACATTTGCCCATTTGAATGAAAGAAGCAGAAATGAGCACAAGTGGAAATTATCTGAAAAATAAAAAAAACTAAATTAGTAACAACAACAAAAAAAACAGCTGAAAAATAGCTTAAAAAAGCAGAAAGAAGCTTAAATTACCAGAAGGCGGTGGGGAGCAATTTTTTGCTGAATTTGGCTGAAAAAAAGTTGAAATGAGTGCAAAAAATGTGGAATTAGCTGAAAGTTTTAAAATTAGCATAAAATCAGCCAAATAGTAGCTGAAATAACAGAAAAAAAAAAAGAAAATTACACAAATAAGCTGAAAGAGGCATAACAAGCTGAAATTAGCAGAAAGAAGTTAGAAGAACAAAACAGCTGAAAAACAGCTGAAAATAGCTGAAGATTGTTTAAATTTGCACAAGGAAGCTGAAAGAAGCTGAAGCAGAACAAAATGTGAAAGGAGCAGTAAAAGGTTGTAAACACAGCTAAAGATTTGAAGGATGTAAAATGAGCTCAATTCATTTCCCATGAGGAAAAAAAAAAAGTCAGAAAAGGCTAAATATTTTTAAAAAGCTAAAGTCGCACCAATACCAAGCCATGGCACCCTTCTCCTGAAAGAGCTGAACGTTTTGATTTATGATTTGTTGAAATAGCTTAAAAATTACGGAACGAGAAATATGCTGAAAAACGTACCGAAGAAAAACGGATCACAACAAGAGTGTGAACGCTTCATGAGCGTTCACACAATAATCCCGTTGTTGCACATTCCTCGTGGTTTTGAGAGGGACCAACACGGATCCTCCCAGATCATAAGGATGTGCAGCAACAGTTTAGTCAATAATTTGTAGGGATTACATAATTCCCATCCTGTAACAGAAGGCCTGATCAGAGCTGAATGACGCTGCAAGATCCCTTTTCTACTCAGCCAAAATATTTGCTTTGATTCTTGTAAAAGCGAGAACGCGTGCTCGTTTGCGGGAACGTGAAATAAATCCTTGGTCATCGTTTACACCTAGCTGTGTTCATCCTCTCAGAGGCTCAGTTACATGTTCTCCTCAGTGCAAAAACACACTGGCCTGCAGGTGGAAACAAAAATACAGCTCCAGCCCCACCCACTGAGCCAGCTCGTAATATTGTGCCAGGGCCCGGAAATCTTGAAATTTCACAACACAAGGTAACGCATTGACGAAAACTCGTTTGCAACTTTTCCACCAGACAATTTAAAGTCGCGCTTATTTTTAGAAACTAGGACAGCCGTGAAAAGCAAGGTGTGAAGATCACTTCAGCTCCTCTGCTAGGACCTTTTCTTTTTCGTTTCCAAGACAGAGAGAACTTGGGTTTTCCTAAAATAGCTAGTAGAAGACAGAGGCAGATGATAACAGCTCTGCTTCTCTCCGTCATACAATCAAAGTGTTGGTTTTCGTGCCTCTGAGCTACACGGCTCACTTTTAATGAGACGGTGCGGCTTTTAACGTTTCGTGACGGCAGGACGTGGACGTGTTCAGAACCGGTTGAGAAGAGGTCACAGGATGGACGCTGGAGTTTAGTTTTTGGACATGACCTCGGTGAGGCTGACGTGAACACGCTCGCAGAGCCAGGAATGGTGTGTGTGTGTGTGTGTGAGCTGCAGCTCGCTGAATCAAACCAGATGTTGGAGGAGTTGAGCTCCAGGCAGCAGATATGACAGACCAGGCTTTGGGATGGCCTCCTGAGAACGACGACGCTCTGATCTGCTTTCACTTTGGAGCGATTTTTCTGGTGCGACCGCTCCTTTAGTCGTTTCAATAAAACTCAGTGTTTCAAAGTCAAGCTAAATATCTCACGAACTGCTGAACAAACTTGACTAAAGTGTTCATTAGCTGTACATATGAACTTTGAAAGTCAACCGAAATCAAGACGGCCACGCAATAAAGTCCATACCTTGGTCAGTTTTATAGAAAGAGCTCAAATTTGGTGAGGTAGTAGCTGAGAGTCATCCTTAAACACCTCGAGGGCGTCATACTGCGCTACATTTCTGCTATCAGCTATTATCGTTTGTCTGTTGGCGAAGTATGTCGCGATCCACTGGAAACGTTTTCACGAAACTCTCAGAAAGTAACCACGTACAAGCGACTAACTTCTGGTCAAGATGGCTGCCACAACTAACCGACTGTAGCCGACACAAAAAACGTCTGTAGCTCAGTCCGTTTTACAGACGTGGAGCTAAAGTTCGGCGTGGTAGTCGCTGAGAGTCGTCCTCAACACGCACTTCCAAGATCTCCGGAGGTCTTGGATCCAAAATGGCCACAGCTCCCCTCACCACAGGATGATCTCGGTTGAAGACTCTTGGGAAGTGAGTAAGGAACGCTGGGTTTGAACTTGATGAAACTAATTTCAGAGCGTGCGCAGGATTTGTTCAGTTCCACCCAGAGAGAATTTAAAATCAGACCATTGGGAGAAGAAGAAGAAGAAGAAGCCAGCAGCTGCTGTGATTTAACAAAGGATACATGTTAATGTTAGGACGACCTAATTCATGATGAAGACCCCCCCCCCCCCCCTGGACGTGTATTAACAAAGCACTGAATACAGTATACTTTCCAGTCAGGCAGTCCAGAGGACCCCCCCTCCTCCTCCTCTTTGTTCCAGAGCCAGCACAACAAACCCCCTTTTTAAATGTACTCATCTCGACCCCCCCTTCAGGAGAGCCCCCTCCCTCCCTGCCTCCCAGCCACTTCCCAAATGTTCAAGGTTCCGTCTATTAAAGTTAGCCCCGCTTCTTCCGCAGTTATAAACGGAGCTGTGTGCGGCTGAATGGGGGGGCCAGGGGGAGGGGGGGGGGACATGCTTGTACACACAGCGACATTGTAACAAGTGGGATCATTCAGCTTTTTGCGCAACATTAAAAAAAAAAAAAAAAACGCACGACAAAACTCACCACAACTCCTGTAGCGCCCGGAGGAAGCCCGTGGAAACCAAGCAGAGATTTATCCGCCTTTTTTTTTTTTTGTTATCTCCCTCCCCTCTTCCACGTTTTTCAACCCCGGCCCCTCAGTCTCCACACCCCAGGAACTAAGAGCGGGGTAGGGGTGGGGGGGAACTGCTGGGTGATAGCGGAGGAAGAGGGAAGCACAAGCTGGGACGCACCGCTGCCAACACTTCGCCGATTGTTTCCTCTTCTGCCTAATCCAGAAAAAACAAGGCGCCCCTCCAGTCCACGGTCTCCTCCGAGGGCTCCTGGTCGGATGGTGAACCCCACAGTTTATCCGCTGTATCCGGGCGCGTCGGCTCGCTCTCCTAGTCCGCCATGTTGTGTGTCTGTCTGCAATAGGAAGAATGGGAAGCAGCAGAAAAATTCCCAGGCCAGGCCCCGTCTGCCTCCATTCTGTTTCTGCGTGGCCGACAGCGACCCCTGCTGGCAGCGCCGAGCACTACACTCCCAGCTCTGCGGCTGAGCACAGCCACAGGAAAAGGGTTGTAAACTCAATCATCAAATCATGTCATCTGGACCAGTTTCTTTAAATGAGAAACGCTTCGTCCCCCATCCAGAGGACTTCATCAGTCTACGGCCTGCCAACCAGATCTGTCCCATTAGGTAGCCTTCACTGCTGTTTCAAGCCAACCTCCTGTTGGAATCTCAAAAGTAGGCTTTTGTTTTAACGCATGCAAAACACACCCATCGAAAACAATCAATCGTGTACAACAATCAAATGTTTTAGGCCAGATGGCCAACTTGCTACTCACAGAAACAGCCTGAGGACAACCAAGGCCAAAATGGTTCTGAAAAAGGTTTGTAAACTCAGTCATCATCAGCATAAAAGGTTAAATCGTGTCATCTGGACAAGTTTCTTTACAGAGCCACTGAAAGAATTTGGAGTTTGTTTTTAGTATTTTACAAATCTGGATAAGTGTGGGAGAAAATTGAACGTAGCATTGACAAATATGTGTTTGCAGACCATATATTCCCTATTTTATTTACAGAATAAAATAATAACAAAAGGGCTGTGTCACAGTGGTGAATTTAGCCTCTTTTTGCTCAAGCACCCCTAAATTTTAACTCAGCACCCCAGAAAAATTAAACTACCATTAGAATTTTATAAGGAAACTCAGTTTTCAAACTATAGATTCACTAAAATATGGAATAAATATGGATTAAATGATGACACTCAAAAGGGCCAGTAAATTCAGATTTTTTTTTAATCCCCAACACCACCTGTCAATCAACCCTGTAGACTTGTCAGCAACTGACCAATCAGCCACCTCAATTAGTCCCGAAGTGAAACACCCCTTACCTGCAGGAGCTCCACCCCTTTTTCTCTGACAACATTGTCAGGGTTTTGCTTTACGACACTTTACGGTCAGAGGGATTACATGAAAAATCATAAGAAAAATGATTAAACGTTGTTAGTGGGGAGCATGTAATTCAGACAGTGTTACCCTGAGCGTTAAGAGTGGAATACAGTTTATTACATTTCACAAACTAAATAAAGTTTGGAAAGACTTCGGGGCGGTGTTACTTATGTACTTATTTAAGCGTTTACTAATGTAGGTAAATGTAATGTTTAACAGTCTGTTAAAATACACCAGTATGCAGGAAATGCATCTACATTATTCAAAATTTTCTGGGGGAGGACCCCTTGAGCCCCCCAACAATGTGTGTCCCCCACATTACAAATGCTTCTGACGCCAATGGCCAGTGTTGTTCAAGCCAAGAGCCATTGTCAGCACTGGGGCTGAGCATCCCAAGGGTCAGACTCTAGAATTGGCCCTGCTGTGTCATCACAATTATTCAAATAAATCACAGATTATATTCCAGTAGCATGCACTCATTTTCAATGTTAATGTTTGGTCAATCCAACACTTGCGGGTCTTTATCGTCACATCTTTCTGAAGAGAAAGCAAGGAAATCTCAATATTCAACAGCATATAGCACATTAAAAAAACAACAACACATGGTGCAGCTCTAAACTACGTTAAAAAAAAATGTAATTACGGTACGCAACTTAAAACGTATAAGGCACTGGTGAAGATTCTCATCCAGGACATGGTAAATCCAAAAACAAAGTTTAAAAACAAAACAACTGGACTTTATTTTGTAGCTGAAAATATTTCGCTTCTCGTCCAAGGAGCTTTCTCAGTTCAAAGAATGGAGAATGCGGAGTTTGATTTTTTAAATATTTTCCTTTAAACCTTTATTTACAAGTTAGTCCCATTGAGCCTCGGGGACTCATTTACAAAAGAGACCTGAAAGTCCTGATTTATAAGATGAGGTGTTCTTCAAGCTAGATTCACATGCAGATTGCCCTCTCACTACTCACAACAGAGGTTCGTTAGGGTCTTTGTTAGTCTGACTCATAGCTGGGCGCATGATTGAAGCTGCATTATAGGTTTTTGACAGTTGATCTGAGGCCTCCTCCTCTGTTTAAAGATGGTTTCTCTCTTTTTACATAAACGGCTTCCTTCACCTCCCCCCTCTCAAACCATCCGTCTTCTCGATCCAAAATGTGAACATTTTGCTCCTCAAATGAGTGTCCCTTATTTTTGAGGTGTAGGTGAACCGCTGAGTCTTGTGCTGAGGAGGTGGCTCTCCTGTGTTGAGCCTGTGAAGAAGCTGTTTGGTTTCTCTAATGTAGAGATCTGGACATGCTGCAGTTCAGTGTGAATTAAACGTGTAATGTTTCACGTGGCTGCAAAGAAAAATGGAACTACCAAGATGCTCTCACTAGCAGCACCTAGCTAAGTAAAAAAAAACAAACATGTAATTTACGTTTAGATTATTTATAACCAGTGTACATACTTAACTTTTTAGTCTGAAGTTGCTACTGGTTTTTAATTTACTCTGAAATTAAACTAATTCAAAGAAAAACAATATTTCATTGAAGACTTGAACCCTGTGATTAAAACTACAAACTTACAGGAAAAGCACATTTTAGAAATTTGTTTTTCCCTTCAAGGTTGTTCCCGCTATTCGTTGTGATTTATATGTTGTTGTTTTTTTTTATTAGGATGAATCTGAATATAAAAGCTAAAAACATTTATTTTTTTAATTGCACATTGAAACAATAGTTTTGGAAAAGTACAGACTTTGAAAAATGCCAACCTGCAGTTTTCACACACATCTGGTCGTGTTTGAGCAATTTCAAATGATTTCTTTTGGTATTTCTTAGTGCTTAATTCCAAATATTTCTAAATGTTTTGGCACAATTAAATGGTGGCGCGGCCACTAAAAAGTAAAAACCAATGTCATGTTGTGTACCGACGCACACAGTTTGTTCTTACGTATTTTAAGCTCTCGGCCCTCTGAGCAACAAGCCTGTAGACGATGAAGGGTAAAAAATAAAGACCAATACAACGTCAACACTCAATGTTTACATCAAATATTGTTAATTTATTCTGGATGAGTTTATTGAGAAATAAATTATTGTCAACTAAAAAAAAAAATTAAATGAGAACGTGAATATGGTATTATTAGGAAATGTCCACTTAATTTCTGCACCCATTGTCACAATGATGGCTGCTGGAAGTTCTTGTCTTTTTGGCGAGATTAAAAAAAATAATTCGGATATTAAACGTAACATCTTCAGGTCTTTAAAAGTTGAAATGTTAATTTTCCAAGATATGAATTCAGCTCGCTAAGATTTTACAGCTTGTCGGCACTTGTTAAATATTTGAACAGGTGGTGACATGAACACAAGTTTTTAAACATGAATGCTTTGACCTACAGATTTATCACCGTTATCGCTGTAAACCAGAGTAGAAGACGTCAGCAGCTCAAACTTTTGATTCCCGTTTGTGCTCAGTCACAGATCACTTCTATGATCGCCTCACATTTTGTAGCTTGTATTCCACGTGCACGTGAGCGGAGTCGTGAAGAGCCCACCAGCAGCCATGATTGTTTAATAACACTAAATACTGCATCGGTCTTCCATTAGGAGCGATACAAATATTTCACACATCTCATTTATTATTCAAAATGCATCATAAATGAAGAATACGCCACAACTTAAAGTTAATAAATAAGTAGTACATATCCATCATGTTTTGACTGATGGTTAATCTCCTGAAATAAACCCGTAACACAGAAATTATAGGATAAGAGCACAACGGGATTGACTGGGGGAGCAGCTGATTGTGCAGATTAGGACTTTATAATGGTATTGTGATGTAAAAAGCAGGAAGTTAGCAAACATATCTGTGTATTTCCTTCGCATTTAGCTGTGCGCAAGAATAAATGACGTGCTCAAGGTCTTGATGAAATACATTAATGCCAGACTGCATGTGTGCGTCTTAGCAGCTGACAGATTTGCCTTTGCAAAGCTTAGACTGCCAGGTTAGCAATGACAGCCCGGGTGAATTCATCGCTTGTCGCATAGCCCCCGAGGTCTCCGGTGCGCACCTGTTGTAAACATAAGGACAGCGTGTTACTATATGCACAGCTGCTGCGACACATGTCCACATACAGCACCACAGCTGGTCTGTTAGAGAGCCTTTGATAAATATTTTACACTGAGGGATCAGAGATGGAGATACTCTTTTAGAAAACAAAACACCTATACTATATCAAAAATTACATCAGAATTTAAACACAAGCCAGGGCAGTGGTGTAGTCTATGTGATATGCGGGCATACGGAGTATACCCATTAGAAAATTGGGAATTTCAGTATACCCACTTAAAAGTGCCCAATGATACTGTACATGACATATTATTGGGCATATGTCATTGTCAACACATTTGGAACATTTTAGACACACTGAGTAGGTTCAACCTGTTTTTTGTAGGGATGCACAATATAACCGGCATGGTATCGGCCGATATTAGCGATAAAGTTAAATATTGGACATTCCATCAAAATAACTCACCGATATAAAAGGCACTGTTTTATAAACAGACCTTTTCCAAAAAATTTGAACATCATGGAAAAGTTGTTTAACTTCCATAATTCCATTCAAAAAGTTAATTTAATTTATTTAGGGCCCACAGTTTAAACAATTTCAAATATTTATTTGTTTATTTTTACATAATTTGGGCTTCCAGCTCATGAAACCCACGAAAACAGGAATTCAAAACATTAGAATACTGTGGAGAAATCAGCCCAAATGTTGCAGGGCGTGAATGTTTTAAACTGAGTGTGACACTAATCATCTACTAAACTCAAAGCACCTGCACAGGTTCCGCCAGGTGTCATTAAATTGCTTCAGTTTGGTTCAATTGTCTCAGTTTGGTTCAATATGGGGAAGACTGCAGACATAACTGGCCAGAAGTCCATCATTGATACCCTCCATGGGACGGGTAAGCCACAAAAGTTCATAGCTAAGGAGGCTGGCTGTTCATAGAGTGCTGTGTCCAAGCATATCAATGGAAAGTCTAGTGGAAGGGCAAAATGTGGCAGGAGAAGATGCACCAGCAAAAGAGATGACCGTGGGCTTCAGCAGATTATCAAACAGAGAAGATTCCAGAATCTGACACAGATCCAGAAAGAGTGGATTGAGGCGGGAGTCAGCTTCAAAAACCACCACATTCAGACGCATCCGGGAGATGGGACTGTTGGGTTCCTCTGTCCTCTTTTCTGATGAAAGTAAAGTGTGCTTTTCATTTGGAAATTAAGGTCCAAGGGTTTGGAGGAAGAAGGGGTGGGTTTTCTCCGTGTACTCCGGTTTCCTCTCACAGACCAAAAACATGCATGTTGGGCTGCCTTCAGGTCCAGGCCTCCCTTGCAAAAGAAATCTGTGATCTCAATGGAATTTGCCTGATTAAATAAAAGGTTAATAAAATAATAAGGTCTAGGAAAAGAAACATTGATATTGGTATCGGTTATTAGCCAAATAATTTTTAACATATCGGTGGCCAAAAATCCAATATCGTGCATCCCTAGCTTTTTGTACAATTAATACTTCTGTACTTAAACACTTGAAAATGTTTTGCTTTGATACCATTTTATAAATTCTATAACATGTTTTTCAACAAAACCAACTGTTGTACAAAGTTTGTTGTTCATTTATTCAAATACAAGCATCAGATAAATTTGGAAATGTTCAATATGCTTAAAAATCAAAATAAATTGACAATTACATTGTACTAACTGGTGTACTTTGGTTTCTAAGCACAATATACCCAGTACAAAAATGCAGACTACACCACTGTGCCAGGGTTGTAAATGAAATAAATGTCGGGTTTGACCATAAAAACAAGGTTAACGGCTGGGAGCAAGGTTTTAGGACCACCTGGACATAAAGCTTGGATGAAGTTCTGCATCAGAGATAATGAAAACAGGAAGTTTGATGGACACCAGGACCATTTAGTTAGATGTGGTTCTGACCATACGGTTCTGTTCATGTAACACTTCAGGTCAGGCGTTCTGAAGCGTTTCATTCAACACAGCCACCTTAACCAGTCCATCCAGTCCTTTCATGTGAGCGTTGGTGCTGTGAATATGAGCAGTATTTTGAAGCGTCTTTTTGAAACGGTCAGGGTTGCTGCTTTTATTCTCTTTTTAATGTTCAAATGGAAATATTGTCTCAATGCAAACGAACTGGGTGCAGTTTTTTTTTTTTTTAAGAAAACATTTGGCCACAGAGGCACAAAGGGGCTGTGGTCTCCACTAAATCAACTTATTCCCAGTAACACACAGGACTAACTCAGTTTGTCCAACTATAAACTCAGTTTGGATTCTGGTGCTAAAATAAATATTTAAAAATATTTTATTTATAAAAATATTATATTGTAAAATAGTTTTACATTCAGTCTTTGTAGGACTGAAGGACACTGGTAAATATGAATGAACATTAAGGCAGTTTTTATGATTTAAAGATAGTTTTTAATCATGTAAAAAAGCAAAGCATTCCCCTTTCCAACATTACCCCTTCTTTGAAAGTGGGGTTATGTGTAAATAAAACTTTATTATATAGCACTTCTCAAGATTAACATCACAAAGTGCTTCGACAAACAAAATAAAGAAGTGCACAAAACAAATTTAAGCAAAGGCAAATTAAAAAAAGATGAGTTTTTAGCTGGCCTTTAAAGGAACCAACTGAGTCTGCTGATCTAAGAGTTTGAGGAAAGCAGTTCCAGAGTCTTGGAACCACAGACGAAAAGGCTCCGTCTCATTTAGTTGTCAGTTTTGTCTGGGGGACAATCGGCAGGTACAGGACAATCAGCAGTGTATGTCCTGTGATTAGTCAGTGTCTTACCTGCAGTAGATAACGATCACAATCACAATTTGAGGAATAAAATAAAAATATTCCTGGCCTGCAAGATGAGCCAACAGCTACATATTAAAGCATATATGAAAAATCCTGATTCATGCTCAATAATCCAGGTAGAAAAATCCAACAAAGTCAAGTCAGGTCGTCTGGACGGTTCCTTCCTTTTTTTCTATTTGTTGAAATGTTTCATCTTTCATCCAAAAGACTTCATCAGTCCGAGGAGCCACAACAAACTCAGTCTTATAAATAGCACCTTCACATAGTGGGTCAACCAGTTTGATGGTGCTAAGATGATTTCCAGAGTCCGCCCTCTCCCCTGCCGACTAGTTTGAGGCAGCCATCATGGCCAGAGTGGCCATGACTTAAATTTGTTGGATTTTTCTACCTGGATTATTGAGCATGACTCAGGCTGTTTTAAACCACTTTGGCCATGACTGCCTCAAGCAAGCCAGCGGGGGAGAGGGCAGACTCCAGAAACCATCTTAGCACTAGGGATGCACGATATTGGATTTTTGGCCGATATCCAATATATTAAAACTTATTTGGCCGATAACCGATACAGATATTTTTCATACACGTTCCTTTGTCAGAACATATCCGTCTTATTTAGGCTTATTTGCTACAAAAATTGTGTAACAGCTGTAAGAGCTGGTGACATATATTCAGCAACAACCATATGCATAGCACTTTAACTTATATAAAATGAGAAGTGTTAAATGTTATTTATTAGCATTAGTCACCTGTGATGCCGTCTCACTTGTGGAGGCTTGTTCCAGGTTCCTATAGCTGCAGTGTGGGATCCTCTGCACTCTTGTGCATGAAGGACAGATTTTTTAAGTTCAAAGTTTTTGTCTATCCATTGTGCCGTAAGACTTATCATGCTAACGGGCTAACACGACGTCCAAATGTCTGTGGTAAAACTCACCCAAGTGCTATCAGCTATTAGCTTCTCAATGATGTCGGAAATGACGGCTTGTAACTCGGGTAAGGCTACGTCAGAAAAATATCTCAGACTGAGGACGATGTAGCGAGGCTCAACGTAGTCCATAAATCTTCGGAACCCAATATCCTCAACAAAAAAAAAACTTCCACACTGCCGACATTTTGACTTTTTCCTCTCCGCCGTGAGATCAGGTAGGTGCGCATGACATCATCACGTTGAGCTGCCGCTGCAGGCATCCTCGTCCCTGGATTATCATACAAAAACAGCGTCTTTTATATCGGCGAGTTATTTTGATGGAATGGCTGATGTCTGATATTGAACTTTAACGCTAATATCGGCTGATACCATGCCAATAATATCGTGCATCTCTACTTGGAACCATCAAACTGGTTGACCAACTATGTGAAGGTGCTATTAATAAGACTGAAGTTGTTGTGGCTCCTTGGACTGATGAAGTTTTTTTAGATGAAAGACGAAACATTTCAACAACAACAACAAAAAAAAAAGAAACCATCCAGACGACCCGACTTAACTTTGTTGGATATATTAAAAATGTCAGTGTATGTTTAGAGTGCATAACTTTCACATCAGGCATTTGCTTCCTTTCTCACTACTTTGCTACTCAAGTCATTGTTTTACTTTGCATCGTTGTGCGACGTGGCTGCTTCACAAATGTTACCACTGATCAGCTGTAACAACTCTGTCCTTTCCATACGACAAGAAGCACTTTTAAAGATAAGCTGAACATATATAAATGACAGACAGATGACAGAAATGTTGGTCGGTTAAAATAAAGTGAGCAAGACAACAGCATTTCACTTGAAACTTCCTAAGTACTTTTAATTTTGAGTCATTTTAATTTGCTTTAATGCCCATCTATTATTACATCTTCCCATTATGAAATTTGGATCATTCTGACCCCTGATAACTGCAGGTAAGACACTGACTGCTCATAAGTACCACACACACAACTACTCGTGAAAAATCCAAACTATTAATGTGAAAGGGCTCTCAAAATGCATGAAACAACAATCTGGTTTAGTCACATTCAGCCTGAGAACAAAAAATAAAAAATACAAATAAAAAACAAGAGAAGGGATGCAGATGGAGGTAGAAAACATAAGACCGGGCTCCTTGATGGAAATCCTCTTCAGTTGCACATTTTTCTTAAAGAGCATCGCTGCTACTTCCACTGGATTTATCAGCAAGCTCAGTATAAACCATAAACTTCCTTTAACAGCGCAGGAGGGGTTTGATTTGAACCTTCTCTCAACACATGTTAAGATCAGTGACCAGACTTAAGGCGAGGTCAGTGACAAATGGGTTGAAATGACCTAATAAACCGGCTTGTGATGCAGGTTTTCCACCACTGCATGCACAAAGTCACCAGTGGTACAGTACCCGCCAAGGTCTCGTGTCCGTACCTGGGATGTGCACAAACAGTATACACACAAACATTAACACAAACGAACACACGGGATAAACAGACACAAGGAGAAGGGGGAATTAAAAAGGAAAAGGAGCTATTTGATCATGTGCAGACAAATGCTGCTGTCAGTTCATGATAATCAGCAACTTACAGCAGAAAAAAATGTTATTTGCGTTTGTGTTAGTGCATGTTTGACAGCAGGAAGTAAATAAAATTTAGTTTTAAAAAGATGAGAAAAGAACCGGAGATTATTATAATTCATTACGCCCGGGCAGGATGAAATAAAGCAGGAAAAGAGATGCTGCAGAGCAGAAACGTGTTCTTACAGGCAGTTTCAAGTGGAGTGAATCAAAGGCTCTCTAACAGATGAGTCAGCAGTTTGTTTAATTAAAACATCTGTAGGCCAAAAGCTGCTAATGTCACAGATAATATGTTGCACCATTGTTTTTATTTGACTGATCAAAGTGAGAACATAAAGTTCAACTCCCTTCTTATCATAACACATTTTTAGTTTTCTGAAGTGCATTTAAGACTCGCATGACATTTTCAGCTACTGACCTACAAACCCCAACATACGAAGGCATGCAAGTTTTATTCACGTTCACATTTTTGCAGAACCAGCAGTTAGTATTTGGTTTGTCCAGTACAATAAGACTGTGTTAGTATTATTAGTGTTTGTGGTACGTTAATGTGTAAGTAGAGGTCTTTAGATTGAATCCCATGATCCCATCATGCACCAGTAACCACAGAAAAGTTCAAACTAACACAACAATTTACCTTTCCCTGTTTGATGACCTTCTTCACAGCATCTGTTACCATTTGGGAGTGGTATTCCAAACTGAAACAAAGTACAATGATAGTGGTTGTAATTTTTTTGTTTGTGCCAGAACTTGTACAGTAGTCCCTTGTTTCTCGTGGAGCATCCGCACCTTGAAGCCCCGCGATAAGGGAAAAAACTTGAAGTAGGAATATTAGTACAAGTAGTACGTAGTAGTTTATTTTAGTGTATATATATATACATACATCATACCATACCACTTTATTTATAAAGCACTTAAAACAGCTACAAGCTATATATATATATATATATATATATATATATATATATATATATCTCGAGGGCCAGACATCCAGCGATTAAAATCATTATGTAAATAAACCAAAGTTTACAATGATCTGTTACCTTTTAATTGTGATATTTCTGAGCATTCTGACGCTAACGATAAATTTTGTGATATAACAATAATAAAAAAAAAACACAAAAACCCCCCAGAAATCAGTTATTCATTTGACAAAATTAACTTAACATGTTGCTTTGCAGTATTATATAAAAATAAATAAAAAACCAAGGGTTAATTTTACTGAAATTACATTATGTAAAGTATTCAGTCTCAAAGTATAAAAATAAAAATGATCCTTCTGTTATTTAGATTGAAAAAGTTTGCACAAAATATAGATAAATAAATCCACCACAAAAACTAAAGTGCAGGTGAAGTTTCCCAAAATAACTAAATAAAATAAAGCTTAACATCTGTTAAGCATAAATGTAACATACAACAAAAACATGTTGCCTTTAAATGAGTTATAACTTCCAAAACTTGTGACAAGGTGTCTTCACCTGACCCTGAAGCTTGTGGTGTTTCAGCTTCTTCTGTTCCTGCAAGAATGATTCATTTCTGACTTTTTTGTCTTTGATCACCTGACTCTTTTCTTTAGTCCATGGACTGTGAAGCTCAAGAGACAGAGCTGAGCTGCGCTTGTACCGGCAGCCCAGAGCAGGGTGGGGGGGAGGGAGAGACAGTTGAGCTGTGCACTGTCTGTACCGGCAGTTTAGAGCTGTATGGAGAAACACGCTGAGCCATGCGTTGTTTGTTTTTAGCTAGCTAGTATTGCGTGCAGCTAATTAGCGTTACGCCAGTAGCGACAGGTGTGGGGGGAGGGTGTGTGTGCAGTTTGGTTCAGTAATTTGCCATGCTCGGTTCTGTCAATGGGGCAGGGCGCCCCGCTTGTATAATGATAGGAGAATCACTGATGTATTTACGTCATGAAATTAGCACATCATGATATCTTATCATGATATCATATACCATTTTCCCGGGCAAGCTTTTTTTACTGGTATTATCGTGAACAATATGATATGGCCCAGCCCTACATTTTAAATGTGTTTATTTTATTGCATTGAATCATAAATACAATAAACAGAACCCCAAACCCAGAACCGCCCCCTCCCAATTTTTTTTATGAAGTGGCTGGATTGAAGTCACCCGTAGGCCATTTCCAGCCCGCGGGCAATCAGTTGAAGAGCCCTCCTGTAAACGCTCTAAAAGAGCACAGAATGTCATGATCTCAACTCTCTGCCTCAGCTGCACTCTGCTACCTGCCAGCGCTCTTGGCCACGCCCACTTTTCCGCAGCAGAGCGGAGATCAGCTGATCAGCTGCAGGAAGAAGCTTATGTTCAGTGTGGACTGCACACAGGTGCAAAATAATTTAAAATAATTTATTTTAAATAAAAATCCATGCCGATCGTGCGGCTCATTCATCAACCATTTGTGTGTCATGTCCAATATTACTTAGAAAAACCCCGATAGAGCGAGTCCACGATAAACGAACGGCGAAGTAGCGAGGAACTACTGTAATGGAATTGTTCATTAAAGTGGACTCACTTGAGGTGTCGAAGCATATTCGCAGCACTGAGCAGCATGGCGGTCGGGTTGGCAATATTCCTTCCTACAGCTTGTGCAAAAGGGTGGCGTGCACCCTGGAAAAAAATAAAACAGAATAATATGGAAAACGGTTAACCAACAGTGCAAAGGTAAAGTGTGCAACAAACTAATTTCTTTCACTTTTAATCACAAATGAACAGGACGAAATACATGTACAGAACAACAGTTTGGTTTCTCATCTCTTTCAACTTTTAACCAACAAAAGTAAGTTAAAAAAGGAAACTCACCGTCTCAAACACAGCGTATTCAGCGCTGTAGCTTTCCCCAGGGACCACTCCTGCTCCTCCAACCAGCCCTGCTGCCAAATTATCGATAATATTTCCATACAAGTTGGGCATCACCAATACATCAAACTGGTATGGATTCTGAACCAGCTGCAGAAAAAAATACAGACAATGACAGATTTAAAGATGTCACGTAAAAAATTTAAAACCAAAACTGAATGATCAGTGTTCAGCCAGTCAGGAGAAAAAGAAAAGTTAGAATATTTACAACAGCTAAGTTTTGGACGAGCAACGAGAGAATTGTTCCTGAAGTTTAAACAATATCAGATAGTGAATTGTGAAGTTGTAAATACCTGCATACAACAGTTGTCGATGATTATGTTCTCGTATTTGATTTTGGGGTACAGCTGTGCCACCTCTGCACAACTCTGCAGGAACAAGCCATCACCTAATTTCCTGAAAAGACACAGAGCATGGAAACAAAAATTGTTTAGGTACCTGTGATATAAATCAGAAACCTTATTCAGTTTTAATATTTAATATGCAAAAGTATGCAAACAATGAGGAAGCTTTCCTGAAGATGGACTCACATGATATTGGCTTTGTGGACAGCTGTGACCTTGTTCCGGCCCTTCTTGGTGGCGTAATCAAAGGCGAACTTGGCGATACGCCGTGACTTTTCTCTGGTGATGATCTTCAAACATTCAATCACACCTGATACACTCTGAACAGAGAGAAGGGTGAATATTACTTCACAGATATGTTCTTATTTAAAAGCATGGAAATTAAGGCTGCAACAACAAATTTATAAAATTGATAAAAATCGATGATTAAAAGCATTGACAACAAATTTCGGCAGCACGGTGGCGCAACTGGTAGAGCTGCTGCCTCTCAGTGAGAAGGTCCCTGGTTCAAACCCCGGTCCAGGGGCCTTTCTGGGTGGAGTTTGCGTGTTCTCTCCGTGCATGCGTGGGTTTTCTCCGGGTGCTCCGGTTTCCTCCCACAGACCAAAAACATGCATGTTAGGCTGATTGGTAACTCTAAATTGTCCCTAGGTGTGAGTGAGAGAATGAATGGTTGTTTGTCTCGTGTGTCTCTATGTGGCCCTGTGATGGACTTGCGACCCGTCCAGGGTGTACCCCGCCCCTCGCACAGTGATTGCTGGACATGGGCACCAGCGACCCCCGTGACCCAAAATGGAACAAACGGGTAAAGAAAATGGATGGATGGATGGATGGCAACAAATTTCATTATCGATTTGTTGTGTCGCGCGATTATGCGTCTTTCACGGCGCTGCAGAGCCGTTTTGTTCACCTGCAGTTCATTGTCAATGCTGACTGACTGAATAAAGTTTGAAAAAAAAAAAAACACTCTGCAGCGTGAGTTGAACAGAGCGAGGGGGGAGGTGGAAGCAGAGCAGAGGCTGTTTTCAAATGAAATTAAGTAAATTTTACAAATGACCGACGCAGAGAAAACTGTTCGACCCAAGTCCTTTAAAGTGTGGGAGCTCTTCACAAAGATAAAAACTGAGCAACATGCAGCTTTGAAAAAGTGACGACACGACACGGGAGAACCACGGAGATGAAATGTAAACATGTCGGAGTCACGAGGAGGAGGAAGGAGCAGCAGCAGATACAACTCATCATGTGTTGCAGGTGAGTCTCTACAATATTCTACATTTGTTCTGTTTCCAAGAGAAAAAACGTAACGTCAGTCTGTCTGGTAGATGAAGCTGCCGCTTGTTTGTTTGCTGATTAATGACGGTGATAGAGAACGTGTGTTACTTTTTATTTAATTTAATTGGTACAAGTAGTGTTTAAATGTGATTTATAAATAAATCTAACACAAGATAATAATTTAATGATTAAGCTTCAACTTTTAATTTGCTGGCAAAGTCTGAAGACACTGCAGGTATGGCAGGATGAATTGCATTTAAACAGGAATTAAAGTCATTTATTACATCTACTCAAATGTGTGTAATTAAATATTTTATGTGTGTGTGTGTGTGTGTGTGTGTGTGTTTGTGTGTTTAATTGCTCTTTGAGCTACTTTTGCCTGAACCCAACACTGTAAGAGAAACAAGGCATTTCTTGAGTTGCTGTAAATTATAATATAATACATATTTACTGTCTCAGTCCAGAAAACAACAACAAACAATGACAGCTTCATGACGGACAGACATCATGGACACCACAGCAGCAGCTGTCTTCACTGAAACATTCTTAAATGATCATCACCGACATGAGGCCTCTGTCGATGGTTGAAGACGAAGGCTTCACTACAATATCCTGATGCATGCTCAATAATCCAGGTAGAAAAATCTAAAAAAAGTTTAGTCTGGTCCTCTGGACATTCAAAAAACAAACAACAACAAAAAAAAACCCAACCTTTCTACCTTTTTTGTTTTGTTTTATGTTTTGAATGTCCAGAGGGACCAGACTAAACTTTTTTCTAGATAGGCTTCACTACAATAATCCACACTTTTAATCCAGGTTACACTCTTCCCTCAAGGACACATTTTACAAAGTAGCTACATGTTGTGCAGGTATAAAGATACATTGGTTTATATTTTTGTGTACATTCATTTTTTTAAGCTATTTGACTAACCTTTATTTTTTATTATTCAATATTTTACTAACAGAATAGTCAAGTAGCGACCTGTTTTAATTGCTATGTCAGTCAAATGTTCAATTTTGGAATAAAGGGGTGGAAATTAAAACTTTTTTAAAAAATTGCCGATTCATCGATTAACCGCGGAAAAATAATCGGTCGATTAATCAGTTGTTGGAATAATCGTTAGTTGCAGCCCTAATGGAAACATAAATAAACAACAAGTTAACTAATTTTATGTATTGTCCTATATTTGATTGGACTCTAGGGTTTTTATGCCAGATGTGTAGTACTGTAGTTCATCTAGTCGTTTACCTCGTGCTCCAGTGAGCTGTACTCCCCCTCAGTCTGCTCACGGATGATGACGAGGTCCAGGTTGTTGTGGCGGGTGTTGTAACCAGGGAGGCTATTCACATGAACCACGTTAGCAAACAGGTCCAGTTTACGTCTGGGGAAATCAAAGTGATGTAGTTATTTTAAAACTAAATATTAATACGTATTATTTTATTATTTTTATATACCTTAGTTTCATTTCATATGATGCCAATTCTCCTTTGAACTCCATAGGTGTGTGAATCTTTCCTAATATAAAAGAATAATAATATTTGTGAGCGTTACAATTTGTTTTGTAATTAATTATTTAATTTTTTTTGTCTAAGGTGAGTCTAACCTTTGATAGCTACTCTGTTGTTCCTCAGTGAAGTCAATACTTGCTCTAGTTTCTCCTCAGTGGCCATGTTTTGCACTTCACTCAGATGAAATTCCTCAAATTCAACAGGGATGTTTCCTGCCTGAACATAAAAAAGAAAACAGTGACAAGATGTAAGCTTGGAAAAACTCAAAGCCCTAAATGAAAAAGTAGCCAATAATTATAATGATGTAAAATAAACAGTGTACACTTTGTAAACATACAAGAGACAAGGTGACAAAAGGCACTAAATGCTCCGTCCCCGCCCTCGTTACAAGTACCTTAAAGACATCCTTGACAGCAGTCATCAGCTCAGGTCCTACTCCATCTCCAGGAACCATTGTGACCTTGAAGGTCCCATCAGCGCGGGCCATTGGGGACTTTGAATTGCACAGCCCTGCAGACACACTCAGAGGTCGAGAGGCCAGCTGCTGCCAGCGGGGGACTCCCAGGTCCTGAAGGGCAACAACAAACACATAGTTGTGAAAGCACATTATAAACAGATTGCTTCCCCTCTTAGTATAGCTGTGACTCTACTGAAAAACCTTCAAATGTTGTTTGCTTAGACCATCATCAACAAAGAAATGTCTTACTTCAGGTCCCTGGACAGATTGTGCAAGTCAAGAAAAACTCACAAGCTTTGACCCTACGGACAATTTTGTTTTAGAAACCTAAAGGTCTCCATCCATCCATCCATCCATTTTCTTCCGCTTATCCGGGGTCGGGTCGCGGGGGTAGCAGCCTAAGTAGGGAGGCCCAGACTTCCCTCTCTCCAGCCACTTGGGCCAGCTCTTCCGGGGGAATCCCGAGGCGTTCCCAGGCCAGCCGAGAAACATAGTCCCTCCAGCGTGTCCTGGGTCTTCCTCTGGGCCTCCTTCCGGTGGGACGTGTCCGGAACACCTCACCAGGGAGGCGTCCAGAAGGCATCCTAAACAGATGCCTGAGCCACCTCAACTGGCTCCTCTCGACATGGAGAAGCAGCGGTTCTACTCAGAGTCCCTCCCGGATGATCGAGCTTCTCACCCTGTCTCTAAGGGAGAGCCCAGACACCCTGCGGAGAAAACTCATTTCGGCCGCTTGTATCCGAGATCTCATTCTTTCGGTCACAACCCAAAGCTCGTGACCATAGATGAGGGTAGGACCTCCTCCCTGACCCGGAGAGGGCACTCTACCCCTTTCCGGCTCAAGACCATGGCCTAGGATTTGGAGGAACTGATCCTCATCCCTAAAGGTCTCTAAAATTATTAATATTATTTTTTATTATTACGGTTTTGTATTTGTATTTTTTTTTCTATCCTTAACATGCGTTTTTTGTTGTTTTGTTTTGTTTTTCAGATACACCTGGACCTATACCTGGACCTATACCTGGACCTATACGTGGACCTATACGTGGACCTGCCATTCTGTGTTCGTCTGTCTCTCCTTCCTGTCCTCTCAAACCAGCCGGTCAAAGCAGATGGCCGCTTGTCCTGCGCCTGGTTCTGCTGGAGGTTTCTTCCTTTTAAAAGGGAGTTTTTACTTTCCACTGTTGCCACTGTGCTTGCTCAGGATGGAAGACTGCAACGAAGCCAAGATTCAACTTGTCTGCTGGATTCCTTAGATGGAGAACTTTACTAATTGGCTTTTATGTTTGTGAATGTTCCTGTAAAGTGCCCTGAGACAACTTTGTTGTGATTTGGCGCTATATAAATCAACTGAATTGAATTACTTTATTTAAGCAGGCCAATCCCACTGAGATCACAGATCTCTTTTGCAAGAGAGGCTTGGGCCTGAAAGCAGCCTAACATGCATGTTTTTGGACTGTGAGAAGACATCAGGTCTCTCTTGTCCTCGAAGCTCACTGGGATTAACCTGTCTAAATAAAGGTTGAATGAAAACCAGATTATCCAGAGAAAACCCACGTAAACACGAGGAGAACATGCAAACTCCACCCAGAAAGACCCCTGATCCAAACCAGGGATTGAGCCCAAGACCTTCTTGCTGTGAGGCAATAGTGCTACCACTAAGCCAGCACGGTGCCATCTGCATTGCTGTTTAAAATGCAACAACTAGTTTCATGACTTTTTACATCAGTAATTTTAACCCATGCAAAGTAAAACTTTACTTGATTGACCATTCTTATGTTGGCGTGTGACGTCATCGGTCACGTGACGTCAATCTGCCATTTTTAGTTTGGGGAAAATCCTGTTGTGTTGTGAAAAACTGATATATGAAGTAGATTATTTCACTTTTATCTCATATATTCCTTCAAGTATATGCAAGAATGTTGTAAGGATATGAACGCCCATTTAAACTCCTGATGGATACGTGATGACCAATGGGTGTCGCCCGAGTAGAATAAAGATGCTACACCTATACCAAAGAGTCCATGTAAGATTTATTTTATAATAACTTACAGTTGTAAAGTTTTTTTTTATTAAATGTTAATATTCAATATATTCAGCGTCCTGTTTGTAAGATAACTGACAAGAAAGAAAGACAATCAATTCACACTCGTTTGACTGGTCACACCATCTTATTTATGCAATAGGACTTATTAAACAATTTCAGATAAATGTAAAATAATATCTAAAATATGCAGCAGCTATTATTAACTGTATTATTATTGGTTATAAATGGCTTTCAGGAATTTAAGAAGAACAGAGAAAAAAAAAATCAAGTATGATTTTATAAAATGCTTTGTCCGCTCGCCCCAGCCTTGTTTTCAGCACGATGTATCTCTAAAATATTGGACAGACAAAACTATTCTGTAACTTTTTCCAATTGTATGATTTATTTTTCCTTTCAATTTGTCTTTCACTTGGGGATGACATGACTCCCCAGATTATCTTGCAAGAATAAATTAGGTACTTCATAGTACTTATCTGGAAGCAAATTACACAATTGAGAATAGCAGCTTTATGTCCAAACAGTTCAAAAGAACAGATCGACCTTGACCTCTCTAATCGGCTTTAAATATATTTTAAGTTCCCAGGAAAAACCAGTGCAGACATGTATGTTCTTGTTTTTAGTTTTCTACACCGCCCTACATTCTAGCTGTTTTTTATTACAATTTCTTTTAAATACCATTTTATTTTCACTTGTTAAAAAAAAAAAATCTCAATTTGTACGCATCCTTTATGATTCCAACATTTTTCAGTCAGGTCATCTGGACAGTTTCTAATTTTGTGCTGAAACGTTTCTCCTTCGATCCGGAAGGCTTCATCAGTCAAAGAAACACACAACAAAACTGATTCTTTCTCCAACAGCTTAAAGAGACCATCTAATCACAAGCAGAACTGGTTTGTTCCACTTTGGAGTAAGCTGTTGGAGGAAGAATCAGTTTTGTTGTGTGTTTCCTTGACTGATGAAGCCTTCTGGATTGAAGGCGAAACGTTTCAGCACAAAAAAAGAAACTGTCCAGATGACCTGACTGAAAAATGTTGGATTGTATACCTGGATTATTGAGCATGGACTTTGTTGATCCTTTATGATTGTTTGTTATTATCTTTGTTGTCTACTGTGGTCATCTCTTTTTTTGTTAGGATCAGGTCTCTCTTGTAAATGAGTCCCCGAGACTCAATGAGATTAACCTCCTAAGAGAGATAGACATGAGATAGATAGAACGCTCCGACAAGAACCCTGCAGATGTTGGATGTTGTCTATCATGGTGCACTGAGGGTGCATTCACACTAGCCCTGTTTAGTCCACTTTAATCGAACTCTAGCTCGTTTTCTTAGAAAGTCCGGTTCGTTTAGGGAGGTGTGAACGTGCCATCGAACTCTGTCACGGAACAAAAAGGCGAACTCTGGCCCGGGCTAAAACCTAGGTCTCGGTCCGGTAGAAGCGAACTCCAGCGCGGTTCAAGTACAGTGTGAATGTAAACAGACCGAGCCCCGCTCCGCAGGGTAAACAAACACGCTCTGACCTTATATGGAGCCGTCAGCTGCCTTGTGTGAAAAAACAATAATCTCCATGGTCTTCTGTCTCATCTTCTGCTCATGCTGAGTCCATTTTTGAAAAATGACAAAATATAACTCCTAAAACTGCTAAAACTTTATGCCACTTCGTTTTTTATTTTTATTTACAGAAGAAGAAGACGTGTCTTCAGAGGTTTTTGTGTCGTTTCTTTCAGTAGTTCTTGGTGCAACGCCCCCACAGGCGAGCGGGGGAACAGGTTGGTTCAACAGGTTGACTCGACTGCACAGTGCAGTGCGAATGCAAACTCACCAGCTCAAATGTAAACAAAAGCTCATGAATATTGGTCCCGAACCGAACCGAGTCTACCGGACTATCTGGTGTGAAAACGACACTCCTACAAGAACCCTGCAGATGTTGGATGCTGTCTATCACGGTGCACTAAGATTCATAACTGGCTGTGATTATCGTACCCACCACTGCACCCTGTATTCACTGGTTAACTGGACATCATTAACTTCACGCAGACTCTCACTGGTACATTTTCATCTTTAAATCACTTCTTGGTCTGCTGCCTTCATACATCTCCTCCTACATGTCTCTGCGTGAGTGCAGCTACAGCGTGCGCTCTCAGGACATTATTACCTGCAGTGTTCCCTCAGTGAGGACTGAACTAGGCAAAAGGGCCTTCTCCTACTCCGCTCCTGTTTCCTGGAATATCTTACAAAAAGATCTGAAGTTCTCGACCTTGACCTCTCTAAGTGGCTTTAAGAGTCTGTTGGACTCCTGGCAGGGACCAATGCAGACATGTTCCTGTTTTTAGTTTTCTACATTCACCTTAGAATCTAGCTGTTTTTGTTACTTTTCGTTTGTTTTAGCCATCCTATTTATTAAAAAAACTGTATGACTTTTTATAACTGTTTATTGTTGTCGCTGTTGTTTATTGTTGTCATCATTCTTTGTTGAAATCAGGTGTCTCTTGTAAATGTGTCCTCGAGGCTCAATGGGATTTACCTGTATAAATAAAGGTTGAATGAATGAAAAAAATAAATAAAATACAACTTTGTCTACAACAATTTGAAACTACAGACTAGCTCCGATCACACCCTTCATTGTAAGAGAGATGGATGAGTTTTTGACATTTAAAACGGACAAAAATTAAAGTTTAGGAAAAAGCCTGTCAGCGTGAAGTTCAACAGAAATTTAAGAAATTAAACACCAAAAACAGAGTTTAAAGGTCGGGAAGGAGATACTTTAAATGTGTCTGGTGATGTTTTTTTGTTTGTTGTTTTATTTACAACAACTAAGTTTTCCCCTGAGAAAAAAACATGTAAATTGTTGTGGTTTCTTGTAACGTTTCCATGATGGTGTACTCATCATGGTTAGCCATAACCAACTCAAGACACATCAAGTCAGTCGAAAATAACAGCACCTCATTTTCACAACGTTAAACCTCGTAAACACATTTCAGAATAATGTATATGCTCAATTAATCCGTAAGCATAATCTGTGAACTCAACTCACCTTGACCAATGTTACCAAGCTTCTCCTCAGGGCGACCGCCATCGTTTTACACATCCACACAGACAGCGGCTACAGTTCTTCTTCTACGGTGGTGGAGCGCTGAAACGAAGCAAAGCCCAAAGTGCGTACTTCCCCTGCTGGACAGAAGTTGTTTAACAGGCAGGACATCACACCATGACCAACACAATCAAAGCACACACTTATTTCTCTAATTAGTTTTTTTAAATCGGTAATATTAAGTTATTCTCCACCTTACAAATTGCATAAAAGAAAAACATTTCTACTTGTAATAGAATATATTATATATCCACAACATAGACTGTACTGATAATTTATATATATATATACATAGGAATCCTAAAACAACCTTTGTAACTTAATAGACCAGAAATGTATAGCAGATATCCATGATTCAATTAATTGTCAAAATAAACATTTTACAAATGCAGAAGAATTTTTTTCTTGTCCACATTCAACATTTTTCTGATAAATATTCATTCTGAAGATCAAGTAAGATCACTTTACTTGTGTTTATATAGCTACATTTTCATTAAACCTCTTATGCTCAGTCTTATAAGCAGCACCTTCTGAACACAAGGTGCTGTTTATTAGACTGAGTCAGACTGAAGAAGTCCTTTGGATAAAAGACAAAACAAGAATCTGTTCAGAGGATGTCGCTCAACCTCGTTAGATTCATCTACTTGAATTATTGAGCATGCAACAAATTTATGACAAAACATTCAGACAATAGTCGCTGATAATTTATTTTAAATTTGATATTAATACTGGATATTCCTAGTGACATGTTGAAATGTGTTTTCAAAATTCAGTTAGCAATATCCAGGATTTTTATTGTTATTATTATTATTTTTTTAAATATATATATATATATATATAAAAAAAACTGAAACTTCTCCTAGTAAAAATTTAAACAAGTTTTTAGTGATCACAAAATGGGATGAAAATGTTCAAGTTCAAGAATCTTTATTATCCCCAAGGGGCAATTTGTTTCACAGTCGGTAGTCACACAAAACAACCATACTCGATAAGACATTGAGATATTAAAATAATACATGAAATCATCACTGTGTTTGTGAATATGTGGAGATGAATGCTCAAAACACATGCATGGAGAAAACAGACTGCCTAGGAAGAATATTTCACATGAAGATATGTTGATTGTAGACATGAAGAAATTAAAGCAGTTTCTGTATCAATCTTCTTTTTATGTATCCGTGTTTGTGATGCCTCCTCCCCAATTTATATGTTTAGGTTTAAACAAATATACAATCTAAACTGGTGTTTTATTATCACATATGTAAGTACAAAGGTATGTGCTTGTTTTTCAATGTTTATGTCATAATAATTTGTTAAAAAGGCTTGTAGCTAGCTGGGTAAAGTCTGTCTTAAAAAAGTCACATGCACTGGACTGGACTGGACTGGATGCAAATTACTCCTCCTCTTAGAAACTGGCCTGCAGCAAGAAATTTCAGCAGACCACATGGCTAATAGCCAACAAAGGAATACAATCTGAGGCATCAGATTACATGCCACCGTCATACATGGACGAGAGCTAAAACTAAACGTTTTACCAAGACCAAAGCCTGTAAACGTCCTCCATTAGGCCCAGAATATACATCATTAAATAAGTAGTTATCGGCAAGTGAACAAGTATGATACAGCATTTTCAAAGACATGGTGCATTAGAGACTAATATAAATATTTTAAATGTGTCTGAGGAAGAACGATATACTTAAAACATGATTTAAGCTGACGTGGGATAATCCAGCGGCATCAAGAAAATTGCATATAGTAGAAAAATAAGGGTAAGCCTTTAAGCACATATTAATACATGTATAGACTACCTATAGGATCCCTTAAATTCAGCAGGCAGACTTGTGTTACACTGAGGGGACACACTTATGACCACGCACCACATGTTTCATTAGTATTAATAATTTATCTTTGAATTCTACACACAAGTACTTCGTCTTCAGTGTTTGCCAATGAAGAGGCCCACAATCTGAAATAAGCCTATCCCAAATAGGTCAGGGGATTCCCAGTCCTATTTCAGGAAAACGATGATTTCTACTGACAGACAGGATGACATAATATTCAAAAAGGATAATGTGAGTTTGCAGTTGGGTTAGTTCGTTACACTTGTAGTATGGTCGGTATTTACATGTTTGGACAATTAATTTAGTTATTCAATCTATCATTACACAGGGACTGAGTGGTTTAATATGCCCTGGGTAAGGCCTTTCAGGTCATACTTTCCACGTAAAAAAAAAAAAAAACGCATCCGTTTTGATGGCGTGTTCAAAACTAATTAGTATGAATGAAAATAAGAGTTTCTCAACATTTTAAAATTACTTTTAGATTTTCAGGGTTTGGACTTTCTTTGTTCTCCAAAATAAACAAAAAGTGAACACAAAGAAGAAAACCAACAATGGAAGGTAAAGAGATGACACAAGCAGCTGTAATGAGGTTCTTCGTTAAGCTTTTTATCATGAGCGGTGATCATCGTCGCTTAGGGACTTGGTTAAAAAACAGAAACGTAGCCTGAAAGACCATATTTAGGTGAAATTTAATCAAAATCTCTCTGCGCGTGGCTACTGGCTGACAGCTACAGCGTATGACCTGAGATTACCATATATGGGCAAAGACAAGCAGAGCGAGCGCTGCTGCCGCTTCCGTGTTTGTGTGATCAGGGAGGGTAGCACTAGCTCGCGCAGCTAGAAGAGCGGCTCTGTCTCCACAGTTTCATTCATACGGGAGAGTTACAATAAGCAAAAGGCCAGCAGGGAAAATGCCGATTGAACTGAGTAAGTTTGGTTGTATTTATGTCAACGGACGAGTAAAAAAAAAAGCAAATAAAGCCTCGTGATTGGGGGAAACTGCTCAGCAAATCCGTCCAGGTAGTCTGCAGCTAGCTAGCCTCGCCCATTGCTAACAGCTTTGATTCGCCTATGAAAAACGTAATTTTTGCGTTGTAAATGAGTCTACCTGCTAAAACATAACGCCGTGTCTGAAAACAAAATGCAGTTTAAGGTTGAAGTCAGCCAGTTGGAGGCTGTGGTGTTGAGTGCTAGCTCGCTGAGGGAATTCAGGAAATAGCTGCGTTGTCGTCGCGTTGTTGTGACATGTCCAGACAGACCGGCTGGAGCTGCTGAATACTGCAGTGCACTTCTTCTTTTAAAGCCTTTACAGGGTGTGAACTTTTAAAAGCAACAGTGAAAAGAGCAGAAGTGAATTTAATCTTTATGCCTAACATAACACGGTGTGGGAAAGGTGGAAAACTCGATAAGATGGTGAATGTAGTAGTCCCGTTCTTGTTAAGCGAGAGGTTCCGTTTTTTGTTGTTTCTGTGTGTTGATGCTGGGACTAAAACCTTCTGGCAATTTACATTAAATGTTACTTTATTTTATTTATTTCAAGGATGGATGCATGGTTCAAGCACTTTATTTATTTTCATAAATCTTTCTATTGGAACTATATTGTCTAGATTGCACAGTTTTAGTTAGATTTATGTAAATGAAATCGCATTTCGTGTGATGCATATTGTTTGAGAAAATGTGCCATAATTTTTTTTTTTTTTTTGGATTGATCATGTCATTCACTGCCTCATTTAATTTACTGTATAGTACAAAGTCAGTGCAATTAGTTTTAAGTATGTGTAATAAGAGATCTAGATCTACGGCCTGCCTCTCTTGCACAGATGTGTCTGTGTGGGCAGAGAGGTCTGAGAGTTCACCTGTCCACACCTGTCCACACCTGTCCACACCTGTCCACTGCTGCATACACCTGTCCACACCTGTCCACTGCTGCACTCTGGTGCATTTTGCTTCAAGCACCTGTCTTGTTGTGACCTTTTTTTGTTTTTTGTTGCAGAACATGTCTTTGCCAGTCTCCCTCAGATGGAGAGGGGAGTTGCAAAGGTGATTGGTGGCGATCCCAAAGGAAACAACTTTCTCTACACCAATGGAAAGTGTGTCATCATCAGGAATATTGAAGTAATTTTTTTTAAACTTTGCTAACTATTGTTGATGCTTTCTTTCCCACTTTCATTTTGTTCTTCTGGGTTTTAATAAGTCTGTTTTTCCATCATGACATTTTAATAATTCGGCTAAATTGAAAACTATCGTGAAAAACTACGAAGTGCAGCTTGACTGGATGTGGGCCAAGGTTTTTGCCCATTTTAACAGTGCAGCTCATTGATATCTCACCAGCTCAGTGGAAGTTTCACATTCCATTGTCCTCATATTGCATGCCTAAAAGCCAAAGTGCAGCTTAAAGTTTGCCTTTTTAAGTTTACCTGAATGCGACACCAGTGCATCAAAAAGATTCAGACATTTGAACAATTTTCAGTCAGGTCATCTGGACATTTTCTTTTTTGTGCTGAAAGGTTTCACCTTCCATCCAGAAGGCTTCATCAGTCAAGGAATCACACAGCACAAAACTGATTTTTCCTCCCAACAGCTTACTCCAAAGTGGAACAAACCAGTTATGTTGGTGCTAAGATGGTCTCTTTGGCATGCTCCCTCCTCTGGTGCCGGCCCTCTTCCTCGTCGACAGTCATGTCAAACTGGTTCAAAACCAACAAAGTCCATGCTCAATAATCCAGGTATACAAGTGTATACCTAGATTATTGAGCATGGACTTTATTGATTCAGACACTTGATTTTCCCTCATTTTTTAAATAGATTCCTGCAGAAGTAGACATGTTTTTTTATTTTCTTTTTTGTTTTTAGGTTTGGTTGTAATTTCTCTTAGCCTTGCATGAATTTAGAAAAGAATTGCTTTGGTTCCATTTGTCAAATGCAAATCCTTTTGTTTTGTTATTATAGAATCCTGCTATTGCCGACATTTACACTGAGCATCCTCATCAAGTTACGGTCGCCAAGTACGCCCCCAGTGGATTCTACATTGCATCTGGAGGTACAAGAGTCATCTAAACACATGTACTCCAAATGCATGCTTGGCATAGGAATGTCTATTTTATTCAGATAATTGTTGTTGAATCTGTTTTTAGATGTGTCAGGAAAAATTCGTATCTGGGACACCACCCAGAAGGAGCACCTCCTCAAGTACGAGTACACCCCTATTTCAGGGAAGGTCAAGGACATAGCATGGACAGAGGACAGCAAGAGGATTGCTGTTGTTGGCGATGGACGAGAGAAGTAATTTTTCTTTTTTTCTTTTACCGTTTTACAAATTTTAATTAAAATAAGCTGAACTGTATTTACCTTCAATATCCTTTCATGAGAAACCCAACTTGCTGTGAGCTGTCATGTTTTTATTTGCTTTAGATGTTGGTTTATTTATAATACAGTTCTTTCAATGTCGGTCATCTTCGTGTCGTATTATTGTTTAAAATTTAGTCCTAAAGCCAAAAACCGTGGACAATAAATTTGTTGTCACTTGAACCAAAACCAGAACAATTGACAGTGTTTGTCTCATTCCAGGTTTGGATCAGTGTTCCTATGGGACTCTGGCTCATCGGTGGGAGACCTTTCTGGACATTCAAAGTTAATCAACAGTGTAGACATCAGACAGAAACGTCCATACCGCCTTGCTCTTGCCAGTGATGACACCAGTGCGTCCTTCTTTGAGGGACCCCCCTTCAAGTTCAAGTTCACATTAAGGGTGCGTTAAACTACTTCACTAAAGTAATTGTGCTATCCATAGTGAGTGGACCTGGTTGCCTTGATGTTTTTATTGTTGCCAACATACTAAGCCTTCATAAATGCAAACAGTGATTTTACTTTTGACAACTTAATACCTGTAAGTCATCTCATATCTGCTACACCTGATGGTTCTTGACGGTGTTTTCTTGCTTCCATATTATATAACCTTACTTCGCCCATAATTTGTTGGCGACGGTGTGAGCCAAATTCCTTAAAACAAGACTTTTCTCTACAAATGTGATTGTGTTTTGGACTCATTTTATTTTAGATTGGGGTTTAAAGATTAAAATGGAAAAAATACATGTGTATATATAACTACATTTGTAATCTTAATAGTTAATGGAAAAATATTTGATTTTGTAACTTAAAAGGAAAGCATGTTCAGCACAGAATGTACATTTATTTTATCTGAATTTTTTATTTTAGTATTGCTCTGCAGTAGGAAATGACTTTAAATGCCAGGAGCTTCCCATACCATTGATGCATGTGAGGTTTTGCTCACTGCTCTTTACAATGTTTTATCAGTTTCAGTCATTTCCCGTCTGTGTGTGAGTTCTTGCAGCCAATTATCCATCCAACCCCTTCTAGAAAATACACTGAAAGTTGAATGTTTGTGAGAATTCAGCCAGAAACTACATTTACATATGTCTTTTGACATATATCAGTAATCTCTTGTTGCATATGATCAAAGTAAAAGACCTCTATTTGAAAATTCCTAATCAGATTGTAAATGTTCTGACTTGCCATTAATAGTTGTAAGAATAGTAAAACTTCTAATATTTACAGTTGAGGGTGTTGCTACAAGTGTTTTGTGTACTGTAAACAAACATTACGGGCAAACTGATGTTGAGTTGGATTGCATGGTAGATGATTGCTGAAATTTCTTCCCTTTCTCTGGTTTTCTTTGACGCCTCCAGGACCACAGCCAGTTTGTGAACTGCGTTCGTTTCTCTCCAGACGGAAGCCGGTTCGTCACAGCTGGAGCTGATGGTCAGGTAACCGCTGAAACATTAACTGTGGACATGTCATTGTTACAGTTCAGACTATTACCAAACATTAGTAACTGGCCAATGAACACTACTGTAACAGTTTGGAGTCAGTCCTCTTCAGTATAAAGCATAAATATAACAGTTTAATGAATTATACTTTTAAGTTACAACAAATTAAAAACTGAACAAGTTAAATGAAAAATGTAACATTTCAAGTTAAGTACACTGTACATGTGCAGCTTTACAGAAGTGATCATGGAGACATGACGTTTGTTATAAAAGAGAAGTGCTTTTTTTTGTTTTGTTTGTTGTTTTATTAGTTGAACCTGAAATATTAAAGATGGTTTGCACTAGGATTGTGAAAGAATCTGGAAATCGTGTTTTCAACTCTGTTTATTTATATAGCGCCATGTCACAACAGGATTGTCTCGGCACTGAACAGAAACATCCGCATACAGTAAAAGTTCTCTATCTAAGGAAGCCATCAGACACGTTAAATCTTCACTTCGTCACAGTCTCCCATCCTGAGCAAGCACAGTGGCAACAGTGGAAAGGAAAAACACATTTATGTTCTGGTGCTGCTTGTGTCCGGTGGCGCAACTGGTAGAGCTGCTGCCTCTCAGCGAGCAGGTCCCCGGTTCAAACCCCGGTCCCGGGGCCTTTCTGGGTGGAGTTTGCATGTTCTCTCCGTGCATGCGTGGGTTTTCTCCGGGTACTCCGGTTTCCTCCCACAGACTAAAAACATGCATGTTAGGCTGATTGGTAACTCTAAATTGTCCCTAGGTGTGAGTGAGAGAGTGTATGGTTGTTTGTCTCGTTTGTCTCTATGTGGCCCTGTGATGGACTTGCGACCCGTCCAGGGTGTACCCCGCCCTCGCACAGTGATTGCTGGACATGGGCACCAGCGACCCCCGTGACCCAAAATGGAATAAGCGGGTAAAGATAATGGATGGATGGATGGATGGATGCTGCTTGTGTCCATACGGGAAAAAAATAAAATAAAGTTTTTTTTTTTTTACAAACTACATCATTCTGCTTTAATGTTTGCACAGAGAAAGAGCTTCAAATAAAATGAGAAGATTACAGGCAGAAAGTTGTTGGCACGTTTGGTTTGATATTCATGAACACATTTGGCTTCAACACTGTTTCTTAATTGCTTTGGCAATGACTTGTGCAAATTGTAAACCAATTTTTAAAAGGCATCAACCAATTATAAATTCACTGTAGATCGATAAATCAGAAGACATGTTTGTTTAGCAAATATAGCCATAATAATCTTGCCAGTTTAAGTTTTATGACTCTGAAAACTGACTTTAGGCTTAGTAATGTGCTTAATTTAAAGCTTCAGCGTGGTGGCGCTGCTTTCTTGAACTTGTATGACTTTAGACTGTGAAACAACTGAATGTACACTCCAGAGTTGTGTACATTTATTACAAGTATCAGAGTAAGATTCTTTTTTTTATAGGGATAGCTTAATCTAAAAATATTTAAATCTATTTAAAGCTACAATTTTCTACAAAACATCTTTCCTGTTTGGTCATTTCCATAGATATTTGTTTACGATGGAACAAGCGGTGAACAGGTTGGATCACTGGGTGGAGAGAAGGCCCACAAAGGAGGAATCTATGCTGTAAGTGTCTTTAAACCAGTAAATGTTGTCGTCGCTGTGTACCACGTTGCTGTTCGGGTGGAACATTATGGCGAAAGTATAAACTCGTCACCCAGTTTGCAATAATTTGGTCCAGTCTGGCTTTTCTTTGTCAGAGCTGGTTAGTCAAAGTTGTCATGTTGTGTATTCTAGCTTTTGGAAAGAAACATACTTTCAGTATTTCCCTATTTAAATCAGACACAACCTCTGTGCTCAAGTTGGTTAATATTTTTGTACCTTTTTGACTTGTTCTTGTCCGTGTTCCCTCACTCATTCCATCAGCCTCTTTAGACACCTAAATGTTCTTCTAACACAAAACATTCATTAGATGCTTCGTTTACTTGGACGTGTTGTTCCAACCTTGTGCTTGCAGGTCAGCTGGAGCCCTGACAGTTCCCAGCTGATTTCTGCCTCGGGGGACAAGACGGTGAAGCTGTGGGACGTTGGTGCAGGTACGGCAGTCACCACCTTCAACCTGGGCTCTGAAGTTACCGACCAGCAGCTGGGCTGTTTGTGGCAGAAAAACCACATCCTCAGCATCTCCTTGTCAGGATTCATCAACTACCTGGACAAGAACAGTCCTGACCGGCCCATACGCACCATCAAGGTCAGACTCCAGAGTTTAAGGATCCCAGTTTTAGATAACTAGAAGGTTTTTTTTTTTTTTTTTTAGGGGGGGGAATGATGATTTGAGGTTATAAAGCACTGGAATAATCAGGCACATTAGTCTGTATGGTGCAGGGAGTTTAAACTATAATCTTGACATTACGTTCTCTTTAACGGGAAGCATCAGTCAGTCTGAGCCCGTCTTTATGAAGCACATTTATTGCAGTAACTTGTGTTATAAGCTACTGTAGAACAAAAAGCACATATGGCTTTTAGTCAAATTAATACCATCAGATCTGGAATGTTCTTCCTGGATGGATATTTTTGTACCAAGCTGTTTCCTGTGCATTTTAAATCAGTTTATTTTCTTTATTTTTTAACAGGGTCATACAAAATCCATCCAGTGTTTGACAATTCACAAAAGTGAAGGTCGATCGTACATCTACTCAGGGAGCCACGATGGACACATTAATATCCTTTCACAATATGTTTCTGTAAAAGTTGCTCCATGCAACAAAAAGGTTTTTATTTTATTTAAACCTGGAAAAAGTAGTGAAATATTTTAATTACTGCCTGCTGACAAAAGACGATGTGCAGATGTTTACTTGTTGTACCCATACATGTTTGTCTGTTTTACTTGTAAAATATCTCCTGAACCACTGGACAGATTTTAAAAACACTCTAATATTAGATGTACAGTGCCTATAAAAAGTATTCACACACTTCGTAGTTTTATGCTTTTTTTTACTGCTGTTATCAATCATGGGTGACTTAAAGGCAATTTTTACAAAAAACTTTTTTTTTTTTTAAACCAATTTCAAAGAAAACTCAATTTTTAGTGTAATATGATTAAAAACATTTTAATGTAAAATAAGTGAATTGATAAAAAAAAAAAAAACACCTTTTTAAGTGACTGTTCTAATTTTTAACCTGTCCAGACTTTTTGTAAAAACTGCTAAAAGGAGCCACCGTTGAAAAAAAACTCATTAAATCTCAACTAGTCTTTAAACAGTCTGGACTCTGGTCCTTCATTCAGAATCCATTTTCTGGACCATGCTCTACCTTTTTGTGTCGGGCCTGGGTCTCTCTAGCTCCCAGCAGACCTGGTCTGCCATTAATTTTACATCTCGTCCTTTTGCATCTTTCATCTGCAGCTGATTCATTTCAGACCTCATGCTGCAGCTCATGTTATAATGATGGCATTTAATATTAGGAGTCTGCTGGGGGTGTTTATTTAAAAAATCTGGATCGTATTGATGTCAGACTTTGACTGACTCATCAAATGCATGATGGGAAGACAATTACTTACTATGCTCATCAACTCAATCGGTGCTGGAAAACTTCTCATTTAGGTCTGAGAAACAAGGAAATGGGTTTTGTTTAAATCTGCAAACAGTTCTGTTTGGAAACCACTGTACTCTTAATGCAGACTGTAAAGTCTAAATAAAAAGTGAGACATTTCTGATGAGTTTCATTCTCAGTCAGGTACTGAAAAATTAATTTTATTCAAAGATGACCAGTAAATGACCCAGTAAAGTTTGGATCCGACTGGAATTTCAGGAGTTTAGATTTTCAATGATCATGCTGGAGATTTAATATCTGTTAAACAAAACTGTTATTAAACATGAGTTTATATTATGATGCACATCTTTCCTTCAAATGCATTTTTTAAATTTAAAGGGTACCTGCTATAGAAAAATACAAAATCTTTGTTTTTTTTTGTCTAACAAGGTCGAGCCAGGTCCTCTGGACATGTTCTTCTTTATTGAAACGTTTCGTCTCTTATCCAAAAGATAAGCAGCACCTTCTCATAATGGATCAACCAGTTTGCTGGTGACATCCAAAGCTAGTTCACATCAGCCTAATGACTGAGCGTTAGTGCCCTGATGGCTGCTTGCTGTTCATAGAGCGCTAAATGATACTTGCAACAACAGCACTGTAAGAGGGGACTCTTGTTTTTGGATGCATATTTTTCCTCAACGTCTACCTCACATTATTGGGATGCAGAGACTGGGCAGAATGACTGCTTCAAAGGGAAGGGCCACAGCAACCAGGTGAGCAAGATGGTGACTGATGAAGCCGGACATCTGGTGTCATGCAGCATGGATGACACACTACGCTTTACAAACCTCAACAAGAAAGAGTATAGGTATGGACCGTTGCATCTTTCTGAAACGATGAGAACTAAAGAAATCTCAGTTTGGATAAAATTATTCCTCATTTGTCTTTATGGCTTTTAGAAAGCCATAAATTCATCACATCTTACTGCTTTAGTGTTCTTTTTGTCTTTAACGATCCTTCCTGCTGTTTTCAGTGCCTCTGATGTGGTAAAAATGGATTTCCAGCCTAAAAGTGTATCTGTAGCTGCGAGAGGCCTCTCTCTGGCTGTGTGCATCGGGCAGGTGATTGTTTTTTTTTCATCTTGGTTAAGCCAGATTCACTGTTTTTAGCTCTGTATTATTATTATTATTATTATTATTATTATCTGTTGTTATTAATATTTCTTCTAGCATTTACTAACTTTTACATTGTTAATAGCTGCTTTAATTGACATAGTGTTTGTTTTCTTAGCTTGTTTTACTGAAAGACCAGAAGAAAGTTTTCACTTTGGACAATCTTGGCTACGAAGCAGAGGTTGGAGTCCTCCACCCCAGTGGCACCACTGCTGCAGTTGGAGGAGCAGTAAGTGGATCTCTCAAAGCAAACTGTATCCTGACTAACAGGAGTCTGCTAGCTGTAGCTTTGTAAATGATCTGTCTAATGGCAGTTGGCACAACGTGATGTCTTTGTAGAAAACTTTTACCAATCCACATTGTTTAATGTTTGAACGTGTTTTTGTACATGGCCCTGAAATGACTTTTGTTGTGGAGTGGCGCCATCAAAATAAACTGAATTGAACAGATTTCAAATTCTGATAATGTAACATCTGAGACATGTTTGTCTGTTTTTCAGGATGGAAAGGTCCACCTGTACTCTACTCAGAGCAACACTCTGAAGGAGGAGGGTAAATCTCTTGAGGTTAAAGGGCCCATTACGGACATGGCCTACTCTGATGATGGAGCCTATCTGGCTGTCCTCGATGATAAGAAAGTGGCTACGGTTTACAATGTGGCAGATGGATATACGGTAAAATTTCTACATCCTGGATGTTTAGGTATACGATTCAATATTCAGTGTGTTTAACAACGCTTCCCACCTTCGCCCCCCCCACAGATAAAGAATGAGTTTTATGGACATCATGCCAAACCAGTGACATTGGCCTGGTCACCTGATAATGAGCACTTTGCCACGGGTGGGATGGACATGATGGTGTATGTCTGGACACTCGGCGATCCTGACAAGAGGATTAAACTTCCAGGTGAGTGAGAAACGTCCTAGTCTTTGTGCGACCCTTAAACTTCTCAGTGATGCCAAGTGCTTATCAAAAGTCCGAGGGTTTAATTGCATGAAAGATGCTGTTAAACAACAATAACTTTTCATGAATCATAGACTATGCATCACTGATTAAGATGCCGTTCCCTCTGAACATCCCCTTTTACAATAGGACCAACAAATAAATGCAGCGTTCCAAATCCAGCATTATAAACTGCAGGGAAGAGTTTTTAAAAATGTCAAAATGAGACGCTCTGAGTCTACATGTCATTTACACAAATATGTGAGATGTTTAATAAAGAAATTTCCGTTTTCACATGTCAAAGTTGACATACAGTCTGTAATGTTGACTCAGAGAGAGGAATAAAAATCAGGAGTACTTTGGTAAAGTTTTTGTTCTCCGACTGATCAAGCATGAACTGTTTAACTTCCCCGTTGACCATCTGGGTCCTCGGCTCCTTGTCAAAATAAAAATAAAGCCAGTGACCAGCTGCTACAAATGTCCTGGCGTCACATGTTACAGCACTGACTGAAAAAATGTCTGGAATATATTGGTGATTAAAAAAAGATTAATTATTGATTTTTTTTTCATTGTACACATAACTGTATTTTCCGCCCTACAAGTCACATCAGTCCAAATATGTCTAAGTGGGAAAAATCCATAAATGTGTCTCTTCACTGTTTACGTCGCATCTATTATGCGTCACCACTGACTTGTCACGTTTCTTACACGTCACAGCCGACAACCCGGAAATGTGAGCCAGTGTTGTGCCAAAAATCGATTTGCTGACAAATGACGGCTGCAGGAGTGTTTTATGGGAGGACTTTAACAAGAATTTAACAAGATTAATACTTTAAAACAATTATTTGTTAGCTTGACGTTATAATAAAGGTCTCTGTTGAACTTTTACTTAATAAATGCACTTTAATGGTGAAATCAGCTGCATCTTGCCGGGGTGGCGCAGTGAAACGAAGCTGATTTGACGGTTGCTCCAGGCGAGCTGGACAAAGGTGGCTGCCTATGGCAAGCCAATTGTCATTAATAGCCACTTTTACCTATTACATGACATAACGTAACATACTCAAGTGCCATCTAGTGGCTGAAAATGGTAGTGTCCAATATTTTCAGTCAGATGAATGAAAACGGTCTTCTCAGCCAAAAAAATTTAAATATGGGGAAAAAATCCATAAATGCGTCGCTTCGTGTATAAGTCACAGGGTATGCAAATTAAGGAAAAAGTTGTGACTTGTAGGCTGAAAAATACGGTATGAGTGTGTAATTCTCTTGTGAAAGAAGGTAGTATGAAAATTTCAAGAGGCAAAAAATAGTCCTAGAAAGAGGTGATTACAAAATAACTGAACAATTTAATCAGTCAGAAGAATTACACCTCACATTTCAATAAATAAGGAACAAATGCAGGGTTGTTTCCTCTGTTGGAGGACATTTAAGAAATGAGATTTTCTTTCTCTTCCTGTCTGCAGATGCTCATCGTTTGCACCACGCCAGCGGCTTGGCCTGGCTAGACGAGCACACTTTAGTTACCACCTCCCATGACGCCAGCGTCAAGCAGTGGACGATTACATACTGATCCACAGGCAAACCTTCACATCTGCAGGGACAAGGACTACTGTAGGATTCAAGCTTCTTTTTATGTACTGTCAAACATCTAAACACTGTTCTGTGCTTTCTGTAAACATCTGAAGTGTAAATGGTTAACCTTTGGAATAACTTGCAACAGATTGTCTGTTTTAATGCAATTCATCTAAGAAACGAAATGTTGAAATGAACTTTGTAACCATGAAACGTGAGCAATGTAATCATTCCATAGTTTTCCTTGTCGGTAGTTGGGATCTGTGTTTCCTAACTTACAGGAGGAACCAAAAGCTTTTAAATTTAAATCAGGCAGAATGTATGGAAGAAATGAAACCTCTTGGTTACATTCCTTAAATGGACAGTAACTGGTCCCAGCTGCAGCTGCGAGTCATTATTATTATTTTTTTGTGTATAAGGTTAAATGGGGATGAGTGCATGTTGCCGTTTTCTTTGGCCTAAATTAACTACTTCCTGTTGGACTGGGGAGCAAATAGGAACTGAAAAAAAAAACCATGAATATTTCAATCAAAATGATGTCTTTTTTTTCCTTGTATGGTTGTGCTTTTGTTGGCTCGTCTTTTTTTTTTTTCTGCCTTTTTTTTTTTTTTTGACCATTCATTTACTTCCAGAGTAAAAGTGGTTCATTATTAATAAAAATTAACTTTTTATGCACTTACCCTTTTGTTGAATGAATCCTCAATGACCCAGTTCCATCCTTTATCACAGTTCTACTAAATTCAGTCATCTGTGTACATGATTGTTAAATGTGGACTAAACGTCAGGGCCACAGATGTCACGCTAATCTTATTTATTCCCTTGAGCTGTCCGATAAAGAAATCTGGAAACTTATTTAGACTAATAATTACAAGTAAGCAGTACAGGCTGCCGTGTATGGAAGCGAATGTGTCTCAATTTTCAAAATAAAATGGATTAATAGAAATGCATTTCATTTTCAAAATAAAGCTGCATGTTTTGACTTATAAATAAAATTAAAAATAAATAATCCAAACTGCATTTTCATTTTCTTCAAGATTGCTCAGTTCGTAAAATTAATTAAAATTGTAAATAAAATGTTTAACACTTAATTTTCAAAATATGACCCTGTAAAAAGTGACAAATTCATTTTTGAAATGTCAAACTTGAAAATTAAGATGAATTGGCAGAAATGCTTTTTCACTTCAAAGTCAAAGCTGCATTTTTATTTTTAATTTTTTTTGAACTCTTGAATGAAATGGCTCATAGATGACTCTTCCTCTGCTGCCTCCTTACGGTTTGCTGCATCCAGGTCCTACTCGCAGAGAGACCGCAGAGGAATTGGAATTACAAATTCAAATTGATTTATGGAACTGCGTCAAAACATGCAACTTTGACTTTTAAATGAAAAAGCATTTCTGCTAATTTTTAATTTTCAAATTTGACGTTTCAAAAATGAGTGTCACTTTTTTTACAGGGTCATATGAAAATTAAATGTTAAACATTATTTAATTTACAAACTGAGCAGTCTTGGAGAAGAAAATGAACATGCAGTTTGGATGATTTATTTTTGAGTCAAAACATGCAGATTTATTTTGAAAATGAAAAAGCATTTCTATTCATCCATTTTAATTTGAAAATTGAGACGCATTCGCTTCCATGCAGTCGTGGCCCTGTTTATTCAAGACTAAATAAACTTTTAACATTGACAGCGCTGATCTTTTCATCTAGAAGCCAGCGAGCACAGTGTACTTTGAGGACTTTATAATTATTCAGCACACTTTGACAATGTTCTCTGAAGAACTTCATGCAGCAGCAGTTCAGTAAATGCTGCAGACTAAACCCAAGTACTCTTATTGCGTTATAAAAGCTCCCTCATAAACAGAATGGATTTTAAAATCTTTGTGACTAGATGATGCTGCTGCTTTTTGTCAGAAGCCATTAGAGGAAATTCAGCACAAACTATTAGTTGTGACTAATTGTTGAATTTGACCTTGAAACAAGATTCAAGTGCAACATTCAAGGCTAATCCTGCAACGTGAGCTTTAAGAGTGTAAACTGCTGGCAACTAAAACAAGATCAAGTTGAGGCATAAAAAATTTGCACTTTGCACCTCCTTTTTGAAAATGTTGCATATTTAATGTGTTTCAAGTGTGAAGTTAGTGTGTGTCGAGAGTTTTTTTTTATAAGGTACAAACTGGATTCCAAAAAAGTTGGGGCACTAAACAAATTGTGAATAAAAACTGAATGCAATGATGTGGAGGTGCCAACATCTAATATTTTATTCAGAATAGAACACAAATCACAGATCAAAAGTTTAAACTGAGAGAATGTATCATTTTAAGGGAAAAATCTGTTGTTTCCAAATTTCATGGCGTCAACAAATCCCAAAAAAGTTGGGACAAGTCCATTTTTACCACTGTGTGGCATCCCCCCTTCTTCTTACAACACTCAACAGACGTCTGGGGACAGAGGAGACCAGTTTCTCAAGTTTAGAAATAGGAACGCTCTCCCATTCATGTCTAATCCAGGCCTCTAACTGTTCAATTGTCTTGGGCCTTCTTTGTCGCACCTTCCTCTTTATGATGCACCAAATGTTCTCTACAGGTGAAAGATCTGGACTGCAGTCTGGCCAGTTCAGTACCCGGATCCTTCTCCTACGTAGCCATGATGTTGTGATTGCTGCAGAATGTGGTCTGGCATTATCGTGTTGAAAAATGCAGGGTCTTCCCTGAAAGAGATGACGTCTAGATGGGAGCATATGTTGTTCTAGAACCTGAACATAGTTCTCTGCATTAATGGTGCCTTTCCAGACATGCAAGCTGCCCATGCCACAAGTGCTCATGCAACCCCATACCATCAGTGATGCAGGCTTCTGAACGGAGCGTTGATAACAACTTGGGCTATCCTTGTCCTCTCTGGTCCGGATGACATGGCGTCCCAGTGTTCCATAAAGAACTTCAAATCGTGACTCATCTGACCACAGAACAGTCTTCCATTTTGCCACACTCCATTTTAAATGACCCCTGGCCCAGTGCAAACGTCTGAGCTTGTGGAGCTTGCTTAGAAATGGCTTCCTCTTTGCACTGTAGAGTTTCAGCTGGCGAAGGCGGATGGCACGGTGGATTGTGTTCACTGACAATGCTTTCTGGAAGTATTCCTGAGCCCATTCTGTTATTTCCTTGACAGTGGCATTCCTGTTTGAGGTGCAGTGACGTTTAAGGGCCCCGAGATCACGAGCATCTAGTAGAGTTTTACGGCCTTGACCCTTACGCACAGCGATTGTTCCAGATTCTCTGAATCTTTTGATGATGTTATGCATGGTTGATGATGATAACTTAAAAGTCTTTGCTATTTTACGCTTGGTAACACCATTCTGGTATTGCTGCACTATCTTTCTGTGCAACAATGGTGGAATTGGTGATCCTCTTACCATCTTGTCTTCTGAGAGACACTGACACTCTGAGAAGCTCTTTTTATACCCAATCATGTTGTCAATTGACCTAATTAGTGTTAATTGGTCTTCCAGCTGTTCGTTATATGCTCAATTTCCTTTTTCCAGCCACTTATTGCTACTTGTCCCAACTTTTTTGGGATTTGTTGACACTGTGAAATTTTGAATAAACATATTTTTCCTTTAAAATGTTACATTGCCTCAGATTAAACTTTTGATCTTTCATCTATGTTATATTACGAATAAAATATTGACATTTGCCATCTCCACATCATTGCATTCAGTTTTTATTCACAATTTGTTTAGTGTCCCAACTTTTTTGGAATCCGCTTTGTATAAACGTGTAAATAAATATGGAAAATTTATAAAAATAAACCTTTTATCTCTATAGTTGGGTCTGAATTTGTAAAGATTTGAAGCAGTGGAAGAAAAAAAATTACATTTTAGTGGACTTTTATCAGAGAGCCCATTTTGGGTCCAAAGGTGTTAAATGTTGGTAGAGCTGTTGTCAGTTTCTTTGTCATATACACCACATGTGGTACATGTGGTGACACGAAATTGTGTACACGGGGTCCCATTTACATTCAACAGAAGTATAAAATGTAAAGAAAAAATGTAATAAGATTGAAGATATGAACTAAGTAAAACAAACTAAAAATACACTAAGCACTAGTAGTACAAAAACAATACACTGAACAGCAGCACGAACATGAGCCTGTGTGAGCAGATGAGCATGAATGAACATCGCAGTATGAATAAATCAGCAGCACATAATCAAGTGGCATTACAGTGATTTTTTTTTTGGTCAGTAATTTTTCTGGTTAGAGATTCATGAGCCTAACAGCCTCAGGGTAGAAGCTGTTCCTCAGTCTAGTGGTTCTTCACTTCACTTTGCTCCTCAACCTCCTTCCTGAGGGGAGTGGGGCAAAAAGTGTGTGTGCTGGGTGAGTGGGGTCCTTCATGATGCAGGTGGCCCTCTTCCTGCATATAGAGGTGTAGATGTCTGTGATGGTGGGGAGACTGACTCCAACATCTTCTGTGCAGCCTTCACCACTCTCTGCAAAGCTTTTCTTTCTGCAGCTGTGCAGCCTCCATGCCACACGTTGATGCTGGAGCACAGGATGCTCTCCACTGCACACCTGTAGAAGGAGGTGAGGACTGAGCTTCCCAGCCCTGTTGGTGAAGTTGGTAGAGCTGCTGCCTCTCAGTGAGAAGATCTCAGGTTCAAATCCCAGTCAGGTACCCTTCTGGGTGGAGTTTGCATGTTTTCTCTGTTCATGCGTGGGTTTTTTCCAGATTGGTAACTCTAAATTGTCCCTAGGTGTGAGTGAGAGAGTGAATGATTATTTGTCTCTATGTGTCCCTGTGATGGACTGGAGACCTGTCCAGGGTGTCCCCTGCCTCTTGCACAGTGATCGCTGGGTATGGGCACCAGTGACCAAAATGTAAGAAGCGTGTAAAGATAATGGGTGGAAGATGGTGTTAAATGTGTCATCATTTTAAAGGTGCCTCACAGGTTAAACACATTGTGTGGGACGAGAGCTGGTCCAGCTGGGGTTCTTGAATCAAACAGCAAAGCAAAATTTAAAAGATAAGTGGAAAACAATTGTTTGTGCTCCATATTGAGTTATTAGAGTTGCCTGTAGCATTTTACAAGCTGCACATCAAGGAAACGTACTAAATAAATGATTTAGTGATGATTGTTTTGGTTTCTTTTAGAAATAATTGGAGTCGATATCGTCTTGTGACAAAGGCACATGTGTGCTATTATGTTATAACATGCTTTTGCACATTTTAGTGTAACAAATATGAAAAAGTAATAATCAAAATAACGCCTCATTTACGCCTCATTTGTTTAGTTAATTTAAACTTTTTCATGTTTTGGTTTTAATACAAGTTAAAGGCTAACTTTACTAACGAAGTGATTGAATTATAATGAAGATTGTCTCCAGCACATTGGCTATTGGGTGCCTCACATTTGGTTTATGTCCAGATTCAGTAAATTAAGTTAACCAGCAAGTGCTCATGTGATCATGGTGCTCCATTAATTATGTGCTTA